TATAAAGTGGCAGAGAAAAATGTTTTGTACTTAAAGTGCTTATAATGAACCAAAAAGATATAATCCATAATCAAATATAGTTTTGGTTTACCTACATTTTAGTTACAAGATGAAAATCTCAACTCTATAAATCTCAACTATATGGAAACTAGAATCTAGAAACATTTAGTTTGAAAGAAACGCAGAATGGCACCAAATAGATGACATACCCAATTGGAGGAGGATTCTTTTTTTAGGAAGCAACCAAAATCAATGCTTGAGCTCTTACATACTGTCAATTAAGCTAATATTAGAAATAGAACTAGACTATGATGTTCTATGTTGCTTTTTTTCAGAAATGGCGTTTTTTTTATGTATTGATGACATTACTATGAGCACAATTTTGATCCACAATCATCCATAACTTTGAAGAAACGGGTTCTGTTCTATTCAGAATCCCTCTATAATCATCGTGTAAAATGACAAAATCTAAATTGTTGCTATGAAGAATGATACCTGAGTTCTGCGCAACATGTAAAAAGAATTAAAGAGTATAGTTTGTCCCATCTCGCGGTGTAGTTATAAAAAAATATAAAGTGGCATCAGTCTTGGGTGTGAAAGCGCATGTTATAGTATTCAACCAATTATATGGAATGAATCTAAGTCCATGTTTTTGCCTAACTCTACGCCTTTAATGCTAAACATTATTTCATAAACTAGTAAAAATAGTATATTTTTATTTTAGATATCATTGATTTAAAAGTAGCTTAAAAGGACATAATGAAATATTAGCTTGTAATAGATGTTAACTCAATTTGATATACTATCGTTTCAAACATAAAACTTTTTCGATTAAACTTTAAACTAGAAACGTCCACCAAGAAATTCTCCACTACTATTCCACGGGGGTGGAGAATTGCTATGGCAACCGTGTAAATGGCGTCGGAATTTATTGATTTCACCTCGCCGACTACGACGTCGACGAAATAAGCCATTTAAACAACCCGTCTCGAATCTTCTGCGCTGCACGACCCCCCAGCTATCGAATATTTATTATTGTCCATACGAACGGGGCGGGTTCGAATCCAACGGGATCCCCATCCCTCTCTATGTGTTAAACAACTGTGAAACTGTCCCTTTGCATTTACCCCATGCATAAGTCACTGTCGATAGGGTTGCTTCGGGTTCATTTGCATGGGTAGCACATCGGATTTGCTGCGCTTTTCTGCGAAGACAAAGAGAGACCCCGACAACGGGTCAGCGGCAATAGTTTTTTTTATTCTATGCTGACACATATATTAAGTTGTAAACAGATGTCTCGAATTATAAAGTAACATCGTTTATAAATGTCAATTTATGTAAATTAAAAAAATGGTTATTAAATATTATTTGTAATATATGAATGCTGTAATTATAATTACGAAACTACTATGCACATAAAATGCAACATAACTTAATAGGACAACGATGGGGTAGTTTTGTAAAGGAAAAGTTTTGCTTGAAAAAGGTGACGTTAGTTCTAGTTTTATACTTGCACTGTCACTAGAACTAGAATCAATCGGGTTTAGCTGTCTTTAGAGCGGCTTAACCAAAATAATTCTAGTTCTTGGTCTAGCGCTGCACAATCATTTGGGTATGTCATCTATTTGGTGTCATTCTGCGTTCTTTCAAACTAAATGTTTCTAGATTCTAGTTTCCATATTTCTGTTTTAGTTCTACTCATATTTTAATATCATTCTGCTTTATTTTAGAATAATTTACTGTCATTCTTTATATATATCGTTTTATATATGCTATATTGTGGCTAGCAACTATTTAGTATCATTTATGTACTCATATATGAGTTATGATTTATGATAAACCGTAATATTGAAAACATCAATTATGATATTTTCGGGATTTTCATCTTCTAACTAAAATATAGCTAAATCTGAACTAAGTTTAATTATGGATTATGTCTTCTTGGTTCGTTATAAACACTTTATGTACAAAACATTTTTCTCTACCACTTTTTATTTTTGAGTTATGATCAAAATTAACATGGAAAAACACAAATTTTGATATTTTGGGGATTTTCGTCTTGTAACTAAAATATAGTAGTCTTAGTTCTACTCATATTTTAATATCATTCTGCTTTATTTTAGAATCATTCTACCATCATTCTGTTTTATATATGCTGTATTGTGGCTAGCAACTATTTAGTATCATTTTGCCTTATCTTAGAATATTGTTTATTAACGAATAGAGAAATATTGTCTAAATGTCTTATTGTATTACGCAACTTAGAAACCATAAATCCCAATTCCACTACATCCCAACCAATCTTCACTTAAGCAATATTCAACTTATCCACACCCATTCCATACATACTAAATCGAACTTATATGATTTATAACCAAAATAAATCCAACTCTTTCATCCCTCAACTAGCCACAATCCAAATAACGCAATCTAATCCAAACTATCTATATAGTAAATCTAAACCAACCTAAACCATGAAATCAAACCGAACCCTAACTAAAATTATCGAATTTTCAAATAAACCCAACTGATCTATTTCCTAGCCAATTAATGAATATCTATTTCTTTTTGTCTTTTTTTGCTCACTAACCTTTCTGTGTGCCTTAGCAGTCAACATATCTTAGCATAATATAATTAATCCACCATACCTTAACCAAAACCAACCCAAGCTCATCTAATTCAAATCCAACCCTCATTTAAAACCACGCAACCCAACTTGAGCAAACTCATAGTTTGCAAATCAACACTCTTTTTACAACAATTACTTCAAAACTGTTTTTCTCCAAAATTTATTCATCAAACATACTATTCTTTATACATCATTTTAAAGAAGACATTTTAAGCTTTAATTTACAGTATGAATGTTTTATAATTATTGCAATTAGGGCAGATATAATTTTTTGAATTTAATTTAGTTTGCAAATCACAACACTTTTTACAATAATTACTTCAAAACTGTTTTTCTCCAAAATTTATACATCAAACATACTATTCTTTATACATCATTTTAAAGAAGACATTTTAAGCTTTAATTTGCAGTATGAATCGTTTTATAATTATTGCAATTAGGGCAGATATGATTTTTTTAATTTAATTTAGTTTGCAAATCACAACACTTTTTACAATAATTACTTCAAAACTATTTTTCTCCAAAATTTATACATCAAACATATAATTCTTTATACATCATTTTAAAGGCGACATTTTGAACTTTAATTTGCAGTATGAATCGTTTTATAATTATTGCAATTAAGGCACATATGATTTTTTGAATTTAAGTTAGTTTGGAAATCACAACACTTTTTACAATAATTACTTCAAAACTGTTTTTCTCCAAAATTTATACATCAAACATATAATTCTTTATACATCATTTTAAAGAAGACATTTTAAGCTTTAATTTGCAGTATGAATCGTTTTATAATTATTGCAATGAAGGCAGATATATTTTTTTGAATTTAATTTAGTTTGCAAATCACAACACTTTTTACAATAATTACTTCAAAACTGTTTTTCTCCAAAATTTATACATCAAAGATACAATTCTTTATACATCATTTTAAAGAAGACATTTTAAGCTTTAATTTGTAGTATGAATCGTTTTATAATTATTGCAATTAGGGCAGATATGATTTTTTGAATTTAATTTAGTTTGCAAATCACCACTATTTTTACAACAATTACTTCAAAACTGTTTTTCTCCAAAATTTATACATCAAATGTACAATTCTTTATACATCATTTTAAAGAAGACATTTTAAGCTTTAATTTGCAGTATGAATCGTTTTATAATTATTGCAATAAAGGCAGACATGATTTTGACTCAACGGTAAATTCAATACCAGTCTTTTACTTTTGGTTTTGTTCCAAACATAGCAGAAAAAAGAAAACTTTTTTGTCAAAATAAACCATAGAACCAATTATTCAAAGAAGTCAAAATTTCCTCCACATTTTCATTTGCTTTTTCAATAAAATCTTGGATTGATTTTGATGCTGCTTTCCATTTCCATTTAAGACGCCAACTCCTTTAAAACTGATTTTACAAATATTACTTTTTCATTATGATCATTAACTTCTGTAGGTCTTTTTGTTTTAAATAATCTTGGTGTACCAGATTTTGACACCAAGTCTTGTTTTTGCTTTTCTGCCTTTGACATATTTCGCACATTGATAAAAATGTGATAATTTTTCTTTTGTTCCACGTGCAATTAATATTCTTCATTAATATTAACGTTTTATTTTTCCTTATTTATTACAAAATTATTAAATCCATTTAAAAAAATCTTTATTACATATTACCTTTGATTCTTTAAGGATGTTTTTTAATTAAAATTACCACCACCACAATAAAAAAAAATCCCTTACATCCAAATACGTTTAAACCAAAAGAACGGTTCTTGACGATTTATTTTTTTGCCGTCTTCAAATATGGTTCGAAAGAAGAATGACTTATCTCCATGTTTGAGCAAAACTAATACGGCGTGAAATACAAATTTTCACGCATTGTACAAAGTCGGGTTTGATGACGAGTTGTTTCGCAATAGATGCAGTGGATACCGGTTTAAGTTCTTTTACAAACGAGAGCTTCCTCTCTTCAACCAATCCTAAATATAGACGTTGACGTCGGCGTCCAACTAAGCGAATCGAAAAACCTTTTGACAACCATCCCCCGGGACAAATGTCACGTATAAATTTAACGCCTAATGGATTTGTTGGGTTGACTCTTTTTCTCTTTCCTTATAACCATGTTAAACTGGGGGATCCTTTTTAATTACCAAAGCCGAAAAGGCTTTTGTACATAGAGTTAAGAATCTTGTTTGACATTTAAAGTTAAGTTGTTTCGTTATTTATGATGATCTCAAAAAGTTTTAGTCGGAAGCTTTACGATAATTACACAAATTTACTTATATTGTTATGTATATTTTGTCACTTTATTTTTAAATAAACACCGAAAAGTTAAAATTGATTAAGCCACGTTAAAGAAGTTTTTTGTATTGGAATGTAAAAACTTCCTGGAAACCAGTTGATATCTTATCGTGTTTTATGTGGTTATAAAATAAAATATGTATAAGAATGGAATAAATATTTAATCGCAGTACCTAAATATTGTTCGTTAAGAAAAATTCCAAGCACAAAAAATTGTTTACCCTTATTTGAATCTTCTTTCGGATTGGGTACTAAAGTACAAAGAAACTCCGCCCTCAAAGGGAAAAAAGTTGCACCCCTATAGATCAGTTTGGGTCACTTTTACCCGTCAGTTCAGTTCTGACATCGAAGCACAAAGTGTGGACTCAGTGCGAAAAACCACGTGCATCTTAACCCAAAAAATCATGAATATACCAATTCATTACGCGTATCCTTATAACACATCCATCCACGGTTATCAAGATGTTCCACCTGCTCCAAGAGTTATGTATCATTTACCAAGAGTTGTTTTAAATCAGAAATCAAAATTTAAAACTGATGAAACATTTAAAGCACTCAGTATAAAATCAGAGGTAAGTTTTCAAGTTCAATAGGTTGAAATTTTTTATTAAAATTAAATAAATTTATTTAAAGATTCGATATACTGGAAGAAATGACTTAAATATAGACCAACGTCGAAAATGTTTTTTATCAGATTGTGTAAACGGCCATGTGGACATATCTTTTATATCTAAAGGAATCACCATTGGATTAGCTGTATCGCTTCAAAGTATTGATGTCAATAACCCCCCAGAAAAGGTAAAGAGGATACAAACGAATATGTTAATTAATATTAATTAATTGCTTTGTAAGTTAAAATTTAACAGTAATTATTAAATTTATTCAATTCAAATTCAAAACTTCGTGAAAGTTCATTTAATTAATTTCCGTCATCAATTCGATTAGAAATTTGTTATCATATATCGCGACACCAATTTAAATTTTCCATTTAACGAGCATGGATAAATTATAATTGGGAAGGAAATAAAGCAGTGAAATTGAAATCAAATATTACTCATTTTTTTATTTACAGATTTATCTTAACTCCTCGTTTATAATGAACGCCGTTTGCGTTCGATTTCAAGGATGGATTGATGTTAACATCTTAGACGGGATCGGTTATTTGGAATACGACGAGGAAAAGGGCGAATACGAGGACGCTATTTTAAAGGAGAAAATTAAAAGGTGCCACCAAACGACATCGCACAACAGTGATGAAAAAAGTAAATATTGTATTTCGCAAGAAATGCCACGACAAGAGGTAAATAAGTTTAACACAAATTTTTAAATCCTTGAATGTTGTTAGTAAAATGGGTTTTAAAATTTGTTTTAGGAATACTGGGAAAATAGAAATGTCTGCTGAACCCAACATAATACAAAACTGGATGTTTGTATGAATGTATAGTTTTCTTGACATCGAATGATGTGCAATATAATATTTGTAATTTTGTAAATAATATGTTGATCATGTTTAATAAGTAAATATTTTCTTAGTATTTTTTTTTGTTTTATTATTAACATTTTTTGCCATACTTCTATTTTATCATACTGTAAATCTATGCAAAAATTTGCAATATATATTTTGTTTTAAAAGAATGTAAAAAGAATTACGAATATATTTTTCCAAATTGAAATCTGGGCGAACATAAGTACAACAGCAGTTTAACCAGATAGAAAAAGTCAAAGAAAAACTAAAAAAACAGACTCAAATCTTCTGGATCAAGTAACATACCTAAGAAGTTGCTGAAATATGGATGGCAGAACTGACAGAAACGCTGACCAAGCTATTTAACGAAGTGCTATACCAGTCAGAAATACCAATAGAATGGCATAACAGGCAAAAAACAGCCTAGAAATGAATAGAGGCATAACTGTTTTAAATATATCAACGAAGTTGATAAGAAAAATATCTATATATAAGAAAAAATAAGCTGCATTGACATTGAGTCCAACATACATGCATACATATGCTTTCTCGATTTGTTACAAACATAATTAACCACCTACAACTTGACTAAAGCAAGAACTCTCATCCCTTACTAATGAACAGAAAGTGCAATCTGCATAATATGGATGCTAGACGACCTGCAAAGGTAACGACACAGGATCTATTGATATGCATGGTGTTAGACAAGATGTAAGCTGGAAGTCAACAATAGCCCCATCGAACAATTCATGGAGTTTTCTTACTTGCTGCCTACGAGATACTGTTTGGTCGAACAAATTTGGGCGTATAGATAGTAAAGAGTGGATATCCAACATGTGCATCTGTCCAATAATAACTAACGGCATTGAAATATACAAAGACATACATGAAACTGAGAGCTTGTTAAGAGTAGCAGAAATGAGGACCCTGAGGACAGTCTTACGAAAGACCCGATGGAACAGAATTGAGAATTATGACATTAAAGATCATTACGGAGTTCAGAACATTATGAGGTGTTTGAGGATTTTGGCATACAGTCTGCCGAAACCTTATCAAGAACAACACACTTAACAGTCTAGAAAAAAAGGAAGACCTAAATATTCACTCTTTTGAAGATTATTTATATCGAATGCAACCTCAATCTTGTCGAAATGTATGATAGGGTACTTGCGTTTGGATTAATATTAGGATTATTTCCTTGTGCTATGATTTTGACTTAGGTTGATGACCAAAGTAACAGTTTGCAGAAATGGCTATAGCACACATCCTGTATTCATCCAAACAGCACATCTGAACCATATTCAAACCAGACTAAACCATGTAAATCAAATGGAACACATGTACACTTAAGCCAAATCCATCTATAAATACTTCCAAGTCAATCTTAAACGAGAAAAAATGATAACTGAAAAGTGACTAACAGCATTGAAAACCTCAAGTCAAAACCAATTTTGAGGTTAGTTCCTGAATATTTTCTTCACTTTCTATTATTTATAACGACCAAGTACTGAAGTGATAATTAGAATTTATTTATAATATTACAGATTTCATCATGGATTCCAAACCTGGGTCCAGTGGTGTAACTAGACATAGGCCTATAAAAAAATTGAAAGAACATGAACTTGCAGCCGCATTGAGAGTGATGATGATTCTGAAGGAAGCTTATTCTCATCATCCTGCTCGGAATTTGAGATGGATGATGAGTCATCGGAATCTGGGGATGAAGTGGATCCTGAAACGTCAGTTCAAGAGGAAGACGTGCAAGAGGAAACAGAAGAATGGCAAGAGATACGTGTGATTATTGGTCATTTTATACAAAAATTGTATCATCCCAAAAGTAATGAGCAGAAATAGATTTCAACTATTGCTGAAATTCGTTCATTTTGCTGATAATTCGACGGCTGACAAAAGTGATAGGTTATACAAAGTTAGAAATCTAACGGAACGATTCTGCTGGACTTGCTGAAGACGTAGTCCAGGAAGAGTAGTTATGGAACTTACAGAGCCATATTTATCTGAAGGAAGGCTTATAGTAGTGAATAACTTTTATACATCAATGCCATTGGCAATTTCACTTTTACAGAGAGATACCCATTTATTAGGTACCCTAAGGAAGAACAGGAAGTACTTACCAAAGGATATCATGACAAAAAAACTAAAAAAAGGAGAAGTGGTTGGTAAACAAAATTCGAAAGGAATAGTTGTTGGAAAGTGGAAGGACAAACACGATGTTTACTTCCTAAGCACAAAACATACTTTGGAAAAGATGACAACTGGACGAAAAAACAGGTTGGAAGAGGAAATTTGTAAGTCAGTTGCTGTTTTAGAATACAACAAGGGCAAGCAAGGGATAGACCTTTAAGACCAAATGTTAAGTTATTTTACGCTCTTACGAAAAACCATCAGATGGTATCACAAAGTAGCTTTTGAGGTTCTATTGAATACTGCTATAGTCAATGCGCTTTTCATTTACAATCATTGTCACAAAAGGAAAATTCATACTGCCTCATTCAGGGAGATGCTTGTGCTTGAGATGCTAGGTATTGAAAAGAATGACGTTATACCAAAACGTTCAGATTCCCTGAGGCACAGCTTAGTGCAAATTGAAGGAAAGGATAACAACAATCGGCGAAAAAGAAGATGTACAAATTGTTACGTAGAAGCTGGAAAAAAGGACGCTCAGTAGTACAAAAACAAGGAAAACCAGTTTCCACAAGATATCATGTTTGTGACAAGTATATGTGTCTTCATTTACAAAACTTCATCAAATGCAAAGATTTTTGTAAGTTATGATCTCATTGGACTTGAGTAATCGTGGTGATCCTCATGGCACTAAAGTAAAACTGTTGTTACTGCAGTACCATGAGGATCACCGGTGATCTCGTGTGATGTAAAAAAAATGTCGTTTTTCAAAAAAGAAACTCTAGTGTACCATTTTTTTATAGGGATTACTTAATTGGTTGTATGGCGGCTGCCAACGAGAAGCAGAAATGAAGGAAAGACCAGATAAGAGGATTTTGGCATAACAGTTCAAAATGAGGAACAACACACGCAACGGTTTAATGAAAGGAAAAGATCTTCATCAAACTACATCGGCATAAGAAGGAACAAAGTATTTCTTAAAACTAAAACATTTACAAGGTGAGAAACTAGAGGAGAGCAATTATAAACAAGAAATACATTTCTAAGTTCTCCAACACATAGCTTGAACACAATACATTTTGTCAAAAATATGCTAGGGTACTTGTGTTTGGATTATTACAAGGATTATTTTGTTGTGCTATGATTTTGACTTAGGTTGATGACCAAAGTAACAGTTCGCTGAATTGATGAAGCACAAATTTTTGTGAAAAGACTCTACTAACTACTATTTCATCCCTGATTTTAACGATTCTTTGTTGGAGTGTTCTCTATCCAGCCACAGAGTAACAGTGGAACAATATTCTATATCAAAGCTTTTTTGATGTCAGAATATTAAATGCATTCTTCACGTTTTTCCCAAGGCAACATCTCAAGAAAGATAACTAGTGAGATAAAGTTGCTTTCCAGAAATTGTATCCCTTCGATATGAAATAATTTTGCTTATCACGTTTGGGAATAAAGTTTACTATGACCTTCCAGGTACTATTTTTAGTTGCATAATAGGAAATCTGTTTAAGTAGTTGTAATACTCTAGCCTAAATCCTGGAACTTATACTATTACAGTCCAGTAATGCTGTTTTTATATTTTTATTTTAAGTCATTCATGATTTACCGTAATGTTGGAAAATTATCATTAAGGTACCTTTTTCTAAAATGAGATACACGAAGCGTTACAGTTACCATTTCCCTTTATTTAGGTAGTTTTACCCAATATTTTAGGTAGAAAATCTTTTTTTGTTTCTGGTTTAAAATTGTAAGTACTTGAACTCTCACCAAACTTCTGATTTGATCCTGGAATTTTGAACAGTTCAAAACTCTTAATGGATCACTGCTCATTTTCTCTGTTCTGTTAGATAACTGGTTTGTCTTCTCCTAAATACTTAATAGCAAAAGACTCTTTGAGTGGTTTGACCTCTGATATTGTATTTTTTCTTTTTTAATCTGTCAGATCTTTTTTATTCAGAATCTAGTCATCCCTGTTTCTAGAAAGTCACCAGGTTGCATTGCTCTGGGCAACACTCGATGGTTGAGTATCCAGATCCAGTATCTGCACATAAAAGGAAATGTTTTTAAATTCCAGTCCAAATTACTTTAGAAGCTATTATTTCCTAAATGATAGATTTAAAATATTATACAACGTTTTATTATATGTTGCAGAAAATGTTGCATAAATTCTTACAGATCATTTTCTTGGGAACATATGTAATTTTGCTAATTTACTCTGATAGACCATGTACTTAGAATCACTACGAAAACAAAATTAGGGCCATCATATTGCAGAAATCATGGACAAAAATATGTTAGTCAATAAAATCTAAATTGGATGACTTGTTTATAACTTCTAAAATCATTTATTCAAAACTAAAAATACTTATACAATTGACTAACAATAAGATAAAAAAGAGTGTTGCCAACAAAACAATTATCACACATAAACTACCTCCTTCATTTAATCTTTAACCATCAGCAATTATCTACTTAGATAACAATCTATAGAGTTCACTTAAGAAACCCGCCTCGACTAAACATCGAATACATATATTAGAAAACTAGACCTTTCTACAAAACCGACAAAAGGCTTCTCCTTTTCCGTGCTTTAAACACGAATGAACCAATTTCCGTCAGCACAGACGTAATGTAACGTTTTTACGCGAGTGAATCAGAAAATCAAGTGGTGCATCGTAGCAGACTGAGTGGTTCCTTATGCAACTGACGGTAACCGAAAACTGTTTCCAGGTAAAAGGCTCGAGGTAGTAATTTTCGTGTTACACGGACCATATAATTTGAAAAAACGCCGTTTTTCGGCACCCGAGCTGTTCCAATCGTGAGCATGATCTTGATAACAATCTACGTGCAAGGAAGATTACGCTTTTTCTATAATAAAGAATGTTGATGTTTTGACCCTATTGATATTTTATTTTTATCAGA